GCCAGCTCACGGCGCCCGGCGCTGCCGGGGACAGCCTGGCCGCCTTCCCACGGGGCTCTTCCAGGCAGGAGCGTGCCCAGCAGGACAGGGGCCAGATCGTTACCGCTTGTCGCAAATATATATATATGTATTTGGAAACTTCCCTTTATGCTGCACAAACAGTTTCGCCCAAACATTTAATTATCACATCTCCTAAAGAGCAAAATAAAAGCTGCAGCCGGCACCCGCCGCAAACCGCTCCCGGCAACTGCCTGTGCCTGCCAGCAGCCTCGCTGCCCAGCCGTGCACCCCGCTGCCCCGGTGGCAGGCATTGCCCCCCACCCAGCGGGACCTCCACCCCAGCCATCACCCGGGGGCAGCGGGTGATCAGGACCCACGTCCCAGTGCACCCCAGGACCCTGGGAAGAGAGGAGGGGGGACACTTACCAGTTTGCGCTGGCACCACTGGCAGATCCCGCAGAGGACGATGGTGACGCTAAGGCTGACGGTGATGATGGCTGAGACGAGGAGGACGTCGCGGGAGGGAGCCCCTGCGGGGGAGCAGAGCAAAGCCGCCGCTCAGCGAGGGGATGGGGAGGGGGGTCAGCCCCGCACCCGGGGGTGTCCCCGGCGTGAGTGTGAGTACAGCACCCTGCACGCAGCACCCGGGGAGAGCAAACGCAGGGAACAGGGTCCAGCTAACAGGCTCCAACCCCATGAAACACCCCGGCATAGTGGCCTCCCCGCTGGCCCCTTCCACTGGCTCCGGGCTCCCGGTGGGATGCCCCGGCCCCCAGCGCTCCCCGGGAGCTCAGGTTGGAGCAGAGCAAAGGCTTTAATCTCGGCCGGCACCCTGGGAGCGCTGGCATGTCCAGCAATGGTCGCAGCATCACCGCATGCCTCCTGCGGCTCCCACCACGCCATCTCGGCACAGCGGCTGTTGTTTCGTGTTGCTTCACTTTCCTTCACTTTTCCCTTTGCTTTCCTAATCCCCGTCCCTTCCCCTTGCCCATCCCTTCCCCTTTGCTCGTTCCCTTCCTAATGCCCATGCCTTCCCCATCCCCATCCTTTCACCTTCTCCATCCTCTTCCCCTTTCCCTTCCCCATCCCATCCTTTTCCCATCCCCTCCAGACAAGCCATCCCCAGTTTCCTTGCTGGATCCATGCCCTTTCCATCGGTGCCCCGCAGCCACCCCACAGTAGGGGTTCCCTCTTTGGGTCAGCCAGACCCACACAGACTCACCCCAAATGGCTGCTCCTCCCCAGCCTGGCCATGGGGACAACCTTGGGGACCCCAAAAATGGGGGTGGACCCCTCTGCTGCTCCAGCATCACCCCCCGCGGGCGCTGGGGATGGTTACAGGGCCAGGCAGGCATCTCCCACCCACCCTGCTCCTGTCCTGCACCCAAGCAGCCCCGTGGGCAGGAACACCCCTCTCCACCCCCTGAGGGACCTGCCCTGCCTCCCCCCACGGCCCCCGCCCAGGCACAGGGTGTCCCCGGCATCCGGCAGCCCCGGCACAGCCGCCGAGCTCATGGCCATGCCGCCAGCCAGCGTGATGGCCCTGGCACCGTGGGAGGATTAATAGGGACCCATGGTGGCTTGGGGGGGGGCAGTGGGACCCCCAGCCCAGCTCAGCCCCGTCCCCTCCAGGAACCCCCCGTTGTGGCATCCCTGCGGGGACCCCGCAGCCAGCTCTGCACCCCCGGATCCGGACAAGCCCTCGTTCGCGGCCCCGCCAG